GGGGGGGTGGGGCAGTGGTTAGAGAGTAGTGCCCATGGGGCCTTGGCTGTGTCGACGCTGAGAGAGAAACCAGGGTCCCTTGGCTGAGCTCCGGAGGGAGTGGAGAAGCACCTGATTAAAGCTGCCAGGCTAAGTACCCACTGAGGCTATAATCACCGCCTGTTCGAAGGTGCTCTCTAGAAACTGAAAATGACCCAACCATTCTTGGAACACATTCACGAGACATTTCTCTCTCATTTCTCTCCTGCTGCCCAAAGGTTCCTCCGCCCCTTCCCAGTGAGCCCATTTCGGCAAACCTTTCCCTGTGGGCCAGACACACAGACATGCACACTACTCCCTACCCCACGGTGACCTCCCTGCTGGTCGCCTGCAATCACCCACAGTGACAGGACAGGGGACTGGCCCATGTGGCTCTCGGAGGAGGGGCTTGGGGGCTGCACTGTGAACAAAGGACGCATCTCTCCCCATTCCTTGGTCCCCTCGACATGGGCCCCGGGGAGTCTGCTTTGTAGATGACCACCATGACCACCACCCACAGCGACTGCACTGGGGCAGCTGTAGCTCAACTCATCCCAGTCCGCGACTCTGCCCCACTGCACAGGTGAGGGGACGGAGGTGTGAGATGGTGAGATCGGGTTTCAGCAGCCTGGCTTGTGCACCTGTTCCCACTGGCCGCTCTGCACTGCACCCTCATTGCTGCATAAGACTAAGCGTGGACAAAGGCCACCGTGGGCTACAGGACCTGGTGTCACATGTCTGGCACTGCCCTCCTGCCCAGCCTGCAAACCACTCAGTGAGATGGTCCAAGGGGCGGCCCAGGACTGGGCAGCTCTGGCCAGCTGGGCCTGGCTATCCTGTGAAGGAGAGTGTGTGTGTCCTTACATCAATCTCTTCCAGGGTCCCCTCCAGGTACCGCCGAACCTGGGAGTTGATCTCAGCAATCTGGGTTTCATCCATGGGGTCATAGGTCACAAAGGTGCGGTTGGCCTTAGAGAAGGATGCAAACATGTCAATGAGCTCCAAAGAGCCAAGTAAAGCTGGGGCAGCAGGGGCCCTTCTGAGAGCAGAGGCAGGGGGGCTGGCCCCAGACCCCCTCACCGTCGGATCTGGACATGCACACCAGGTGCTTAGGTCTAAATGGGCAGTGGGATGGGTGAAGCCACTAGAACCGGGGCTCTGCCGACTGAGTCTTGGCAGACACTACAGGATGAAGACCATAGGAAGGACCCCTGCCCCTGCCCAGCAGGCCTGCCTCTTGTGCCACCCCCTGCCCTCACGGTATCCTGCTTCTCCCCCCAACCACAACCACCTCCCCATCCCCAGCCTGTCCACCTCTCCTGACCTTGATTATCATGCTCTCGGCCTCCACTGCCCATACCCACTACTACCTACCTGCCTCTGCTCCTGCCCACTCGATGCCCCTCCCAGTATGCCTCTGCTCTCCCTGTGCCCCTGGCCATTTGAGATCTCTGCCTCTGACCTGTCCCTGGCTCTCTAAGCCACCCTGACTGAAGTCCTCTCCAGCTCTCTCGCCCACCCACACTTCTCACTCAGCACCTCTGCCCCACAGTCTCTATTACCCTCACTCCTGGCTACTCAGCCCCTCTAGCCACTGGCCTCTACCTTTCTAGCACCTTTTTCCCACCTGGCAGCCCTGACCCCAGAGCCCTTAGGCTCCCCAGGCTCCCAGCAACCCCCTTCCCTGGCGCCTTGCCCCCGGCCCTTACCAGGCTGTCGTGGATGGCCAGCTCCTGTTTGAGCAGCACCAGCTCCTTCTCCAAGTTCTTGACCATCCGCTGTGGGGGAAACGTAAGGGGAGTGGGTGTGATAGGAGAGCAACTGGAGAAGCCACCCTGTGTCCCCAGCATCAACTGTACAACCCCCACCCTGCATCCCCAGCATCGACTGTACAACCCCCACCCTGTGTCCCCAGCATCGACTGTACAACCCCCACCCTGCCTCCCCAGCATCGACTATACAACCCCCCACCCTGCCTCCCCAGCATCGACTGTACAATTCCCCACCCTGCTTCCCCAGCACCAACTGTATAATTCCCCACCCTGCGTCCACATGTCCTGGCCCTTCCTGGCAATCCAGGGATCTGCTCCCAGCACTGAGGTGGGTCTAGGGTCAGAGAGTAACTCAGCAGGCCCCCTGTCTCTGCCTCCACCAGCAGGAGACTGAGAACCGAGTGAGCACCAATGGGGCTACCCTGAGCCCCAACTTCCAGGGGCTGCTTCCGGTCTAATAAGACAGTGGCTTCCCACTGGACACACCCAGGACCCTCGTCCTTTCCAACCACTGCATGAAGACAGCCTAACTTCTCCAATCCCTTCCCCGCTAGTAGTCACGACGTCATCTCCAACTTTGGCTGCTACAAACATTTTTGGTCTACACAGCTTTGTGATCTGCTCCTACGATCCTTCCTGCAGATTCTCCTACTGCACTCCACGCCAGCCAGTTTGCCTATGCACTCTCAAACCTCCCCACCCTGACCCCCACCTCTGTTTTCTGTCCCTTCTGCCTAGGATGCTCCTCTCCTAGACAGGCCATGGCTCACCTCCTCACCTACGGCAAGGATTTGTTCACCAGCCACTTTCTAAATTAGGCACACCCCAAATACCCTGGTTGAGATCACAGCCCTGTAACCCTTTACAACAAGCTCGCTCTGCCCTTGTTCATCGCACGCCATCTACTCTAACAACTTTCTGTGATGACGGAAGTGTTCTACAGCTGTCTGTCCCAGGCGGCCGGACCGAGCAGCAGAACCGCACCGCCGACGCAGACGCCGTCTCAGGAACAGAGTCGACACTTTGAACATCAACGACAGAAGACCAGCTGAGCTGTGGGCTGACATCGAGGACATCTTACCTGAGGAAAGCCAAAGGTCACTAAAAGACAGAAAAGAGAGAGGAGAGCGGCACCGAGGAGCCAGTCATGGCCGCTGGGGTCGTGCCTTCCCACTTGCCCTCCTGGGAGAGTCTTCACGAAACCACCCACCCCACCCAAAAAAAGAAAGAAAGAAAAGACCAAAATGGGTATTAAAGAGACGCTGAACCTTAGCCTTGAATGTCGAGTAACTAAAGCAAAAGCAAAAACGGTGAAGAGTCCAACCCAAGGTTCCCAAAGGTGGCTCGAGGACAGAGAGTAAAGTATTAAATGAAGTGTGCACAGATCTGAAGTTAGGGAACCAGAGGGCATATCTCAAGCTGGAAGAATCCAAGTTACAAAGACGGTGGACGGAATACACGGTCACCGTGCCAAAAAGAGTCGGCTGAAACTCAACCATTTCGGGGAATAGCATCTGACTAAGAACTTAAAAAAAATTATGATTCACTGGGAGCTAATACATCTATCATTTCATAGTGATTAAGAACTGGATTATACATTGAATGAAGAGCCCAAGAGGCAAAATAAAAAATGCATGCAATTCTGGACATGCTCATTCACCCGTGTCAAGAAACGTAGAAGACAGCCAGCTGGCCACCTGACTGGAAGAGCGCTCTCTCCGAGCTCACTCCAGAGAAAGGTGACCAATGAGGTGCGGAAAGTATCCAACGATATTATTAGTGTCACACACAGGTAAAGTTGTGCTGAAGATAATTTTAAAATGGTTGCAGTAGTCTATCGAGAAGGAGCTGCCAAAAATTAAGGCAGGTTCCAAATAGACCGTGGAAGAAAGGATATCATTGCTGATGTCAGTTGGAGGCAGAAAATACAAACAAGATGTGTACCTGGTTCACTGACTACGCAAAGGCGTTTGACTCTGGCTCATAACAAACTACGGATAACATCATGAAGAAAAGGAATTCCCGAACACTCCATGGTGCTCATGTAGAACCTGTGCATATGTAGCAGTCACTCAAACTCAACAAGGGGCTACTGCATGGCTGAAACTCAGGAAAGGTGTGAGCCACGGTTGTATCCTTTCATCATACTTAATCAATCGGCATGCTGAGCAAATAATCCAAGGAGATGGACTTTATGGAGAAGCATCGGCATCAAGACTGGAAGAAGGCTCATTAACAACCTGTGATAAGCAGGTGACACAACCTAGCTGGTTGAAAGTGAAGAAGGCTTGAAGCACCTACTGATGAACATCAAAGATTTCTTTCTCCAAGATAAATTACAACTCAAATTTTAAAACATTGCTTGAAATCTTCACAGCTGGACCAAGAGACAACATCATGACAAGCAGGGGGGAAAGACAGAAGTTTCCAAGCACCCACGATCAATGGCCATGGAAGCAGCCTTCCAGAAATCAAACGACTTGCTGCACTGGGAAACTGTGCTGAAAAATCTCTTTGAAGTGTTAGAAGGCTAAGCCGTCAGCCACGTTGAGGAGTGTCTTTTCATCTGCATCTGCGTCGAGCCATACACGAGGTCGCTTCCCAAGCGACGGGCTGCTGCACCGAAGGAGAAAACAGCAGATCGCCTGAAGGCTTTCTACTACCAGGAGACGAAACAGGAGAGTCCTTTT